GTTGCTGTACGTGGGACTCGGCCTCGCGTTGGACGGAGAAGTGGTGCCTCGGGGCGCTCCCGGGATCCGAACCCGGGCCGCCAGCATCAGAGCGCGCGCACTTAACCGCTAAGCCACGGGGCCGGCCCTCCGTGGAGTTTTTTTAAAAAGAATGTTAAGCTCTTCAAGTTTTCATTTTCAGTAACGCAAACGCGGATGCTTTTTTCACTTTCTAAGACTCATGCTCTAGCTCAGGCATTGCCGCGCTTACTGACAACGACCTGCCTGTCCTCTCCCGTTTTCTCAACGTGGCATTTGTGGACTACGCAAGGGAAGGAAGAAACAGATGGTTCACAGACAGGCCTCCAACTAACTCGGAAACATGGCCTTGTGCACACCTGCCGTGTGTCCCAGCTTGTCCCTTAGCCTTCCCTGATGCTGTCAAGTAGGCATCTACCATCCGCTTTGCCCGTGCTAAGGATGAACGTACGACAGCAGGCGTTTACTCGGTGATGGGGGTGGTACAGTGAATGAAGCTCCAGGCATGCTCAGACCCGTGCTTCCAGACGTAGAGGCTCTGCAAGACTCGCTAAACTTCCAGGGTGGTTGAGGTCTCGAGGCCAATCTCTTGTTGGCTTATGGTAAAATTTGGCTGCTGAAGGACTAAGAGCTATGGTTCGCATTGATTTTGAAGTTTCCAACTAAATACCTGAAAGAAAATGGGAGGTCCTGACATCCTGTTAATCAGATCGACTAAGTCTCGCAAACCCGCACACCCTAAGTGCCGGGATGTTTCATATTCTGGGGGAAAAACACTGTGATGGGCCAAGTTAACTTCTTCGTTGAGCAAGAGAATTATTAAAGGTTTAGGACACCAAAAAGGTCACATAAAAATCCACACCTGTGGACATCTGAGATCCAGAAATCTGAACAAATATTTTTAAGAATATATTCAGGGTTAAAAAATGTGAAACACATGCACCTATAGTTCCTAGATCTTCAAAGTTCCTATGGGGGAACTGTGTAGCTTAGTGTCAGAATTTGTTTTAGAAAGACTTCACCATTAAAAAAGAAAAATCTCATTTGCTAGTTTTTGGTTTACTGATTCTCTACAGAAAACCTTTAAATTTGGATATATTGGTTTACTCAAACAAAAAAAGAGGGAGCAAAAGTCATCAAACTAAATCTTATTATAATAAACTCTACAGAAATATCTAAATTATAATAATGGTAATAATTATTTGCCTTGGAATATTCCTTTATTGAGACAACTAAGTGGGGCACTAGGTGGGGCTTTAGAACATTTTCTTTTGTTAATTCAGGGCTTTTCATTTTTAGGTGTCCATTCCTTAAAAAAGGTCCATTCCTTAAAAAAGAAAACATCCCAAGGATATTCAGCATTTATGACCATGTTACTACTTACACAGGTGCTTCCTGTGTGAGCACTTCCAGTGGGGACCTTTGCAGAGAGCATGCGGAGTGAGCCGCAGTCCATTCACTACCCCACCGCTCGGGCCCCACCGGGATGTGATGGTGATTTCTTTTCAAAAATCCACCAGCCATGCATGGCCATTTCACTCCCAGCTGTGTGATCTGGCACCCCGACAAAAGGGGCCTAACTCTGGCCCCCCGTCTACATGAACGTTTAGCCAGGTACAGCTGGGCAGCCTGCTGAACTCTGGGCCCCAGGTCAAAAGGCCTCGGGAGCCAATGGGTCCTCTCTCTGGACGGCAGCTGCTCAACCCGCAGTTGTGAAGTGAGCAGTGACTACAAACACTCTGGAGGGGCTTTCCAGGGGCAAAGGCCAGCAGGCAGAACTTGCTAAATCATGGGGGCTGAGTTTGCAGCCTTTCCACTATCCTTACTACATGGCTGCCTCTTTTAAAAGCCCAGTCTAAAAATGCCCCAATGAATGATCATCACAACTCCTTATGGTGTCGTCTTGGGAAGGGGAGAGTCTGTAGGTGGTTTACCCACCTCGAGAATACAGATGGGCAGCACCACCATCCGGAGTATTCCAGTCTGCCTGCCCACTCCCCGTTAGCCTACCACCGGGTCAGCAGGTGCGTGCTGGGATAACGTGCCCTTCTCACAGGCACCCTTGCAGCACGGACACAGGCAGGCGATCTCAGGGCTCTAACGTGCTCTGAAAGCACATGTGACCCAGGGATCATGTCGGGTCACGGGCAGGCCTGACTGATAAGCGATGGGATCTGCTCAGTAAGAGCCAACTTGTGTGCAGGGTACAGTATGGCTTTCTAGAAAGAGACAGAGTCTATCTTACTTCTTTTGAAGACCTGCATTTCTCTAGGAAAATAAAGCACTAGGAGGCAATTGGGTCAAGAATAAATGACTGTGATAAAACCAATAAGGAATAAAGGTGTAATATCAATACTAGTACTTTTCAGAGATCTTCAAAATGTATAATAAAATTAAATTCCAACTTTAAAAATCACAATGAAGTTAAAAATAATTTATCTAAGAGCCACCTAGAGGCAGCAGTAGGAATGCACACTGTGATCTGGGTATTAATTACATAGGATATACGGAAACGTTTAATTCCTAAAAAACACTCTATCATCCAGTGTTAGTGTAGCCTATTGGGCTGATCCTAATGCACTTGGCAGTTCTGGAAAGGAGAAACGGCCGTGAGCTCAACAGCGCCCTGAGGTTTTGGTGCTGGGTGGCCCAGTGCTGCACTGAGCTGGGGCTCGGTCAAAGCTCCACGCCACAGCCCTCTGGTGTCTGTTCTCTAAGGAGGCCGCATCTCTGGTCTGGCCCAGGACAAGACTCTCAAGGCCAGTTTCCCAAGAGCTTGGCACTGCTCCTTATCCTGTGTTGCCGAAAGAAGACACTCCTTAAGATCCCTTAGCATCTACTTGTGTTATGGGCTCCGAAGAAAATTACACTTCTGCGACTCCACTATTATAAAGCAACAATTCCTTCAGTGTCTGGTGCGGGAATTTCCTAGAAGATTCAAATCAAGTAAGCATACATGCACACACCCAGGTACAGCCAAGGAAAGCACAGCAAAGCACTTTAAAAAAACCTCACCTAGGTTTGATAAAAAAAAAAAAAAGTACAGTAAAAAGGAAAAAGATACCTTTGCAAATATAGTCTTGACATAAATTGGCAGGTCTCCATGGGGACTTCCATAACCCCCTACAATACTAAACCCCAATCCTTCAGAGCCTTTCTCCAAAGTAATAATCTTAGGTGGAGGTGTTCTGAAAACACAATGCACGCTGTTTAATTCAGGAAGTGATACTGCAGGGAATTTCATTTTAATGGAAGAACACAGATTTGAGAGAGACTTTCATACTGCGAAACTGTGGAGGTCACTTTATCAAATCAAACTCGCAGAGAGCAATCTAGAAACTTATTTGTAAATTTCCCATATCACGCTGGACTAATGACCAATATTCATGAAATTTTACGGGTTTCTCTTTCATAACATTGTTGTTTAATTAAAAATAAAGTCATGATGCTGAAATTGTCAAAGCACCCTTCTATATGCTTAGTTTCTAACCTTTTTTTTTGCTTGAAGAAGATTTGCGCTGAGCTAACATCTGTGCCAATCTTCCTCTACTCTGCTCGTGAGCTGCTGTCACAGCACCGCCACTGATAGACGAGTGGTGTAGGTCCGTGCTCAGGAACCAAACCCGGCCGCTGAAGGGGAGCATGCCGAACTTCACCACTAGGCCACGGGGCTGGCCCTAGTTTTTAACCCTTAAGCTTACTGTTTATTTTTTTTTTATTTTTTTATTTTTTAAAGATTTTATTTATTTTACTTTTTCCCCCCAAAGCCCCAGTAGATAGTTGTGTGTCATAGCTGCACATCCTTCTAGTTGCTGTATGCGGGACTCGGCCTCAGGATGGACAGAGAAGTGGTGCCTCGATGCACACCCGGGATCCGAACCCGGGCCACCAGCATCGCAGCGCGCGCACTTAACCACCAAGCCACAGGGCCGGCCCAAGCTTACTGTTAAAGCTGAGTGAAACTGTCCTGACCTCCTAGAAGGATGTGCATGGAGACAGAGGGGCATGCCATCACCTGAGCTTGGTGCAGACCATCAGTCTGCAGGTGGCCTTCTGTCCACAACAGGCAATGGCAGCCTGACAGTGCAGTAAACTGCTCCTCCTTTTCTGCCCGGATGCCCTCACCACACCTGGGGTGGAATGCCCTCTTTTTTTTTTTTTTTCTGAGGAAGATTGGCCCCGAGCTAACATCTGCCAATCCTCCTCTTTTTGCTGAGGAAGACTGGCCGTGGGCTAACATCCATGCCCATCTTCCTCGACGTTATATGGGATGCCACCACAGCACGGCCTGCCAAGCGGCGTGTCGGTGCGCACCCGGGATCCGAACCGGCGAACCCCGGGCCGCCGCAGCGGAGCACGTGCACTTAACTGCTTGCGCCACTGGGCCAGCCCCTGGAACTCCCTCTTTTAAGCCCCCATCCAATAAGATGCTTTCCTGACCCCTTGGAGAGTGGGCCACATTGTCCTCTGTGCTCCCTGTGCCCCAGGTCCCTATTTCCTTATGGCACTCTCACGGCGTCTCGGGATTGCTGAGCCATCTTTCTCCTCTACTGGACTAGGGACTCCTTAAATCTCAGCCATCTGAGCATTCCCAGCGCTGTGCCTGTCACAAACTCAGGATCATGACTGTGTAACGAGAGCTGAAGTCCCAGAGGGAAGAGAGAAACCAAGGTGAGGCAAAATGGATAAAAACCATTGTTCCAAACGTGGAATTTGGATTTTCAGAGCTTCGTCCAGTGTGGAAGTCTTCTCTCTCAGAAACAACATGGCTAAAACGTAAATTACCTACGTGGGCTCAAGTAGTTAGCCTAAGGTCAGCTAAGGCAGTGTCTCATCCCAGGTGTGGCTGTCCAAAGGGTGAGGACCTAGGGGAGCTCGGTACCCCTGACCCTGTCGTCCATGTGTAGGCGGAGGTTCGCGTCTGGGCCCTGGCAGACTCCTGGTTGTCTGGCAGCCTGCACATCCGAGGAGCAGAGCCTCCGATATGCACTCATGGTCATGGATTTAGAGAAATTTGCAAAACTGGGACATGAGCAACCTCTGAAGATGCGGTTCTGTCTGATTAGAATATTCCTCACCCCGCCTCCCGTCAATTTGGCCTGGCTCATTTCAGGCTTGGTTTTCAGCTGGTTCACAGTGACACCACTTGCCTGATGATGGACTCACTGGTTGTTTAGAGCAGGCACTCATGGCAATCGCTGAATGTCTATGCCATATAAATTCTTAACTGTTTAGAATGCCGCCCTTGCTTTTTCCAATTATTTGAAAACTCAGCGTAAGCACTGGTGCCCCCAGGTACACTCCCTAGTGAGGCATGCCCCTCTCCACGGCTCACAGGCCCTGTGCCTCCTCAGCTCTCATGAACCTGGCTCTCCTGTATGTATCGACTCTCAGACCGTGGACTGATGGGTCTGTTTCTAGTGCTCTGGCGTTCCCTGAGGACTGGGGCAACGCCTTCACCTACGTCTCTAAGTCTGAATCCTCAGAACCCTGCGGGTGCAGAGTGTCCAGGCTTCAGAAGGCACTCAGTAAATACCTGCTGACGTAATGAGGAATTGACCCTACAGCGGAGTGGTAATGGCGGCCAGAACGGGCTCTGCCTCTCACCACTTCCTGGCCATGTAAACACTCTCGGTGCTGCCCCGCTGGCTGGACCTGAACTTGATCGTGTTTCCTCTTTCAAACACAACCCCCGTTTCCCAGGATATTGAAATGGGGACCTAGATGTCCAAAGCCCTTGTTGTAGAGCCCCTGGGGGCCACAAACCATGAGACGGTCCCATTGCGCCTGTTCACGGTTAGAGACCTGCTCTCGGGGGAGGGAGGAATGCAGCTCCACCTCAACTGGAGACGTGACATGAAGCTGCCCCACTTATCTCACGTTTTCAGTTGGGTTTAATTTACTTTGATACAGAGGACTAGCGAAAAATGTATCTCCAAATGTTAACATTTGGATAATAAGTGATTTTTCAATTCTTTATGCTAGTGGTTCCCAACCTGCCAGGAGCTGTGGAATCACAGCAAAGGAACCAGGATTACAAGGGCATCTCTGTACCCCATGGGCACCTCATAGGACGCCAAACGTACCCTCTCTTCCTATAAGGGCCCTGAGTTTTTTAAGGGAAGGGCCATTGTGATTTGAAAATGTTATACTTTCATGTATTTGTCATATTTTAATAGCATGCATTCCTTACTTTTATAATTAGAAAAAAGTAAAATGAGCTTAGTTTAACATTCTGCCCTGAAGAAAAACAAACTCAAAGATGTCATTTAAGTTGATGAACTTGCAGGAAAAAGTTGGGACTGGCTGTGATCATCAGATCCTCCAATAAACCCTTCAGATCTGTCACCAAGCATTTACTGAGCACCTACTGGTGACCAGGCCCTGGTGGTACTGAGAGGAATAACTTCAGGCAGCACTTCTCGAAGGATGCATCCTCTGCCTGTCTGCAGCAAAACTTCCCTGGAGGATCCGCTGTAGACCACCCATCAGAATCTCTGAGAATGGGGCCAGGGGAATCAGCATTTTTAAATATGCTGTTTACATTATTCTCATGCACATTCTAGTTTGAGACACTCTGCTTGAATGAGCAACTTGAACTGCACTGACTGGTCTTAATGAAGAATGCCAGCAAGTTTAACAAGGTTTAACCTCAGAACAAGATTTTGGCTTATAAAACTGAGGAAACCTGGTTCCCTGCATAATAAAGTGGGGTGTCCCTGGGCTATAAATGTGGGATTTCTTAGGGGAGAAGTCACAGGCACCGTGTCAGAGTGACCAGATGCAGCGTGTGCAGGCCCTGTGGCAACAGTCTGTCCAGAACTCACACGAGGAACAAAGCCTCGTGAGAAATACGGAAACCCTGGTGCTTTCCTGGGGATCCTCTCGGCATCAGAAGAGGTAATGTGTGCTGTCCCACTCCTCTCCCTCAGAGAGCACACTCCAGGATCTGGAAGAGGGCTCCCTGAGCTTTGCCCACACACGTAACAGGCACCCTGCATCGAGGATACTCACTCTGTGTCTTCCGGATGCTGCTCAGCACTGGGTGAGCTGAGGTGGTAGCCTGTGGACATATTTTCAAGTTGAGTTGCTATGGCGCTTATATTGGTATCGGCTACAACCTGGGGAAGCACAAGACAACGCATCGTAAGTCAGGGGAGAATCCGAGAAACCACGCTGTCTCCAGTGGTCAGTTCAGCTCATCTTATTCGACCATCTGCAGCGTGTGACACACGGGCTACTCCTCTCTTCAACTGTTTCTTCGTTTGGCTTCTGGGACACCACACTAATAAAGCCGCAGCTCTCAGCCCTTGAGCTTATCTTCTCCATGTGAATATATCCCCTTGGTCACCTCATCTCACGAATTTAAACACCATCTGTGTAATGATAATTCCTGAATCTGTATCTCCAGCACCACCTCTTACTTAACTCCAGATCCATATGTCCAATCACCAACTTGACGCCTCTACTTGGATGTCCTGTAGGTATCTTGAACCTAACACGTCCCACACTGAGCCCTCCTCCAGCTTTCACTCTGTAGCCTTCCTGACTTCATTCTTTCCGTTTCAGCACACACCTTGGCGTCATCCTCGACTACTTCCACTCACAACCCAGTCAGTCCTTGTAGACTCTGTTGGTCTTTCTACAAAATCTCTTCTTGCCTGGACTTGCACATTAGCCTGCTCCCTGGTCTCCTTGCTTCAGCCCCTGCCCCCCGCAGTCTACAGCAGCTAGAACGGTCCTGCTGAAAGACGGCAGATTATTTCACTGCTCTGCCTAAAACTGCCCAAAGGAACCCCCACTCCTTGGATCACAAGCTGAGTCCTCACTGTGAGCTGCAGGGTCACCTGTAGGTGATCCGCCCCGTCGTGTCTCTGCCTCGTCTCCCGGCGTCCTCTTGTGTTCTCGCTGTTCCTAACACACCAAACACCCCTACCTCAGCGCTGTGCCTTCTGCCTGGAAAGCTCTGCTCGGCCAGCTACTCTACTCCCTCAGGTCTTCAGTCACCTTCCCCGGCCACTCTAACTAAAACTGCCACACCAACACGCCGGCCCAACAGCTCACCTCCCCTCCGCCTTCTGTTTCCTTCCTCCTGCCACTACTAAGAGACTGTACGCACGTCACCCTATTTGTCTCATTTACTGTCTATCACTTCCTCCTGGAATGTGAGGGCAGGCAGTCTGTCTGTCTGTTCACTACGGTACCCCCATCACGCATGCAGAACAGTGCCTGGCATACAGCAGGCATTCAGTAAACATTTGGTGAATGAAAGAATGAATGAATCTCTCTGACTCCCTCTGATTTGCCTTTTTGATGGTCCCAAACAAAAGTATAGTAGAATAATGACATTTAAACATTCACCTTATGTTGATTTTCTGCAAATAACATCTCAAAGCATTCAGAAGAAACATGGTATAGCTCTAACAGCCCAAACTATGACACGGTATGGAGATCTGGAGTTCGGGTTCTGCCACCGAAATGACACCGTGCCTATTTTGGCTTCCTCCTCTGTTAAGGGCATCATAAAAGCCCGCCTCGCCTGCTCACGCTGGGTTGTCTTCCACCTCAACTAGTGATCAGAGCTCCTTTCTCAAGAGCTCCTGGGCCCCCCGCTCTGATCAAGGTGGTAACACTCAGTTACAGGGACAGAGTAGAGGGACTTGCTGCACAGCAGAGCAGAGAGCCTGATCTGACTGCACTTTCAGAACTAGCCAACAGAGGGGGCGGCTGCCTAGACTGCTGGGCTCAGTTGCATCTAACAAGGAAAGCAACAGGCCACCCTGCTGGGTCAGAACACATTTTGGGTGAAGCACCCTGTTCTGGGGGAAAACATCACTATGCACAAGTTATAGGATCTTCTGGAAATACCCTTGTATAAAGAATGACTGAACGAGTTGGGAGAATACTTAGATAAGAGACAAAGAGGAAGGACTGGTTCTCCCTGACTCCAGAGCCTTCCACTTACACAGCTCTCTGCCCTGCCTCATAGCAAGCCTACTGGAGCTGTCTCTGCATGCGACCTCTGTAAGCCTACCCACTGTTGATGCAGAGCGGCCTCATAAACCCACTCCAGCCCAGCTCCCATCCCCATCCCCCGCCTAGAGTTCCAGAACCACACGTTCCTGCTTTCCTCCTGCGGCTGGGGCCCACTTCCCACTTGCACATGGAGGGTCTAGGTGACAGCACATACATTCCCATAGCTTTAAATCCCAACAACATGCTGACATGTCCCAACCTAGTCTGTTATATCCAACTGCCAACTTAACATCTGCACTCTAAAGATTTTATTTATTTAATTTTTTCCCCCCAAAGCCCCAGTAGATAGTTGTATGTCATAGCTGCACATCCTTCTAGTTGCTGTATGTGGGACTCGGCCTCAGGATGGACGGAGAAGTGGTGCCTCGATGCGCACCCGGGATCCGAACCCGGGCCACCAGCATTGCAGTGCGTGCACTTAACCACCAAGCCACAGGGCCGGCCCGACATCTGCACTCTAGTATCTCAAAGGTTTATTAAAATCAACACACCAAACCCTTGATCAAATAACCAAGTCCCTTCAATTCATTTTTCCTCCTCTTAGTGGATGGCACCTCCAGCTGCCTAATTAGAAATCTACTAGGTGTAACATTGAAAATACTTGATTGCTGGCTGGTGACTGTCCAACTGGAAAGGATGCTAGGACGCTAACTGTACAGGTGCTTCCTCTCTGCATATCGACCCAATGCCTCCCTCCCTCCCTCACCTGCTGCATGGACTCCACCACCAAGTCCTCCAGATCCCACCTCCAAAACACCTCTCACATCTGTTCACTTCTCATCTCCATGGTGACTGTCCTGATTCGATCCATCCTCATCAGCTGCCCTTTACCTGCAATCCCCTCACCCTCTTCAGTGTCTCTTCTACACAACAGCCAGGTATCTTCATAAATATACAATGGACAATGGCACTCCTCTGCTTAAAACCTTTCAGTGGTCTCTCTTTGTTCTTGGAATGAAATTCAGACTCCCTAATTATACATACACAGGTCCTCCCCTAGGCCAGCTCTCTAACCCCATCTACTCCTCCCCTCCACCCCACGTCCCACAGCTCTCTCTGCCTGGAAGCTCCTCCCACACACCAGTCGGCCTGGTGTCACCTGAGAGTCACTTCCCTTACACGAGCCTTCTTTAACTGCCCATGTTGAAATTAACTTTTCCTGTTTTCCTCTCTGTAGCATTCTCAAAGTTTTTCTCACAAACTGTGACGATACCCATTTGTGTGACTGTTAACTGTCTCTCCCTCCCAGTCACAGGATTCATGAGGATAAGGACTCTCCTCAGTGTTAACGTGCCTGGCACAACACTTGCCTAATGAGTATTTGCGGAGCGAATGAATGAATCTAAAACCTTCCTAAGGAATAGGGATTACGGGACTCAACCTCCTGAATTTCCACAGAACAGAGTGAGACAGATAGAGGTTACAAGGAGATTGGTCATGGGTCCTTTCAAGGAAAAAAAAAATCTAATAACTCAGGTAGGTACAGAACGGCATGGCACAGCTCGTTAGGACGTGAGCACCCAGCAAAAGTGGCGTCCAGAGACTCAAAATCTGTCAGCTTGGGACGTGGGGAAGGGGTTCCTACATGTGGTGGGGATTTGGACACGCACTCTCAGCCGACCGTGGAATAGACCATCCACTATGGGGTTGGGGAAGAAAGTCAGTAAAATATTGCTTCATCTCAGGTACCTTCAAAAGCCAAGATCTGGGGCCGGCCTGGTGGCGCAGCAGTTAAGTGCACATGCTCTACTTTGGCGGCCCGGGGTTCGCAGGTTCGGATCCTGGGGGCACACTGACACACCACTTGTCAAGCCATGCTGTGGCAGCGCCCCATATAAAGTAGAGGAAGATGGGCACAGATGTTAGCCCAGGTCAATCTTCCTCAGCAAAAAAGGGGAGGATTGGCATCGGATGTTAGCTCAGGGCTGATCTTCCTCACAACAAACAAACAAACAAAAAAGCCAAGATCTGATGGCAACCTGCTCCTTCCTTCACTCCCTCATTTACTCAACGTGTAACAGTGTCACAACCACTGAACAGATGCTGAGCACTCTCCTGGGTCCCTACAGAGGAGCGACCATTATTATTCCCACACTGCAGATGGAGGAACCTGGAGCACGGAGGTTAAGTAACTTTCTCAGCGTCAGCTAAGGAGTGACGGCTGGATTCAAGTCCATGCCGGTCCACTCCAGAACCGTATGTGGTGTGTGGCAGATGGCGCGGTGTGAAGGTATAGACCTGGTGCTTGGTGAGCACAGAGCTTACGGTCCAGACGTGGAGCAGGGGAGGCAGAGGGGCAGAGAAAGTGAACAAGCAGCCGTGAATAGAGCAGGCGGTGTGTGCTTGGCAACCGGTGGGAAACCTGCCCCCTGCCCCTGCCCCCGTACAGTACTAGGAGGAGAGGACTCGGGCGGTGGGAGGTGCACACCCACGGATGTTCTAGGAGGAAAGCTTTTAACATTTAGAAAGAGAACATATTTTCAAGAGTCCATGAAATCAGCCATATAAGTTGTGAAACCAGTCAAACCTCAATTTGGATGAAAATTAAATTTTTTGAATCTAACTAGAAAAATATAAAAACACTTCTACAGCACTATCTTACAGAAAAACTCACATCTCTCCAAAATATGCCTCTTGCTCACCCCTAACCTTGAAATAAAAAGGGCCTCCCAACCATTGATAATATTAAATCCTAGAGACCCACCTAGGATCCTTGGAGTTGTCCAGGCCCAGGCCCATTTGTAGGAATGGAACCCAAGGGTCAGATGGGAACAGTGATGGATTTTACAGACAGTTTGGTCTTTTGCGGGAAGACAAGGAGAGCACAAATCTGCCACTCCAGGATGACTTTACAGCCCAAAGGCATTTGTATCAACCATCTTGGTCTCAGGGTTGACTAGTCTCCCAGGGATTGACAGGGGATAATCTGATCTTGGAAGGGTGTGTATGTTCAGCTGGATACAAGTTCAAGGAGATGTGATCTCCGAGTCTTGGCCCCACCTTGCATCTGAGGACTCTCCCCCATCAACACCAGGGACTGAAATGACATGGAAGGAGGGCTGGGAGAGGTCTATTTGTGTGTTTT